CACGTTTTACGTAATTTTGGTAATCTGACAAAGTTCCATATCCTACAGATCAACCATCCAAACATAACATAACACACGTAATGTGTGAATATTGTCATTTATTAGATGGCTATACATCAAATATTATCATTCTATATAACGATAACAAAAACAAGCTAACAGGAGATCCAGACAATACTGAAAGCACAAGTTGCTTTGATAAAAATCCCTGAAAATGACAAAGTGATCTCACCTGTTACACAACTTTACAAAACTTTGCCAAAATAAAATACAACATAAAAATTTCCCCCAAACTATCCAAAAATGATATTTTGATATAAACAATACAATCCCATCCCAAAATATTTTTTGCTATTAAATATTTTTATGTGATTTTATGCGGTGATGTCTGTTTACAAACTAAAAAATACATATTTGCAGTTTTCTTACACACTACATGTACATTGTATAACAAATATGTCAGCCTCCGCAAGCTCTACTTTCGCTTCCCTTAACTTGGATTTGACCAAACCAGCAAGAGCAACTTGTTTCGTTTGTGTGTGAAGGAGGGGGTCTTTTTCTTCAAATACTCACTTCTTTAAGCAAATCTTATAGCTCATGGTTCAATTCGGAGTGACATACGCTATTGCTTGCAATAACAGACTTTCTAGTTTTCTTTCGATTTATACAATTTAACTTAAGCATGAAGTTGGAAAAACAAACAAAAAAGGCATGGAAAAATTGAATTGTTTTTAAAACAAATTGCCTCTAAATAGTATTCCTGACAGTCGATTTGAAATATAGGATGTTTTTATATAAACATTCATTTTTACATATTCAGTACACAGAATATTGTTTTATATTCTTAAAAAAAACTCCAGTATTAGGTCTATATGCTAGTAAACCTATATTTTATTTCCAATTCTTTCCATTTTTATAGATATATCTGGAGTCGAATACTTCGACTTTCGGTTCGATGTTCGATGCATCCAAAACTAAAGAAAAATAGCTTAAAGAATATTCAATTCATTAAAACTTACTTTTTTTTTATACACTTGCTGAAAAAAATAATGACTGAACTCTTTAATAACATTGATAGTTCAAAATAGTGTATAAAATGTAGAGAACTTACCTTGAAATTTCCCGGCACGTTGCAATCTTGAACAGAAGAGTTCAACTAACGAAAGATAACTCTAACTTGTAGAGGATGATTGATTAAAAGTTGTCTATCTTTTATTTAATATTATCAACGGGTTTTATGTGTTCGACTCGCGATTTAAGTTCGACTTCCGATCAGTTCTCTCTATACAATTTAGCTTAGGCATGAAGTTGGAAAAACAAACAAACAGGCATGAAAAAATTGAATTTACATTTGTTTGAGAAATATAAGGGATGTACATTATAAGGTACATGTAAATAAGGGATGAGTATCGATACACAAAAAGAAAACAAAAAACAAACAAAAAACAAAAACGTAAACAAAAAAACTATCACACATATATCAATATCTTGACGTGTTTATCATGATACGCATTGATACGTACGCGTACATGTGTAACTTTCCAATTTTGTTCTATAAAAGTTTAAAAAAAAAAAAAACTCATCGCAATATTGACAGATGTAAATGTATTCTGCAATCTACAAATAAAATATTTATGAAATAAAGGGAGATTAAAAGAAACAGATAATATTTTGTAAAGCGATTAAATGACGTAGAATCTTTTTTTAAGCTTATCGAAAAAAAATGAAGGTATTCCAGTTCACCGATGACCTACTTCAAGCGAAGAGCAACAAGTATTAGCTTTCCTAAAAAGCTTGTCTGACTTGAGCAAATTTATTTTTACCTGAAGAATCAAGAAAAGTTAAATCCAGTGTAATCAAAATGACTCTGAGTCATGAAATGAATTCTTTTGCTAAGAAACAAAAAAGTTCAATTCAGCAGATTCAGAATGTTTCCTTGAAAGTGTCGACCCTGAACCGAAAATTTCTGAAGTTTCTTCCAACAGACCTGTTCATGGATACAAAGATATAACCAGTGCTTTTAAATCTAAACATCAATCTGTGAACAATTTTGATAATTAAGAAAAGTTTTATTAAAAAAAAATAAACGTGTTATAAATGAACTAACATTTTTGCATTTAAGCAAAAGAACATTCAACACATGTCTTTCACTTTTATATTTTTTTTTTTAACTATGAAGAAATAAAACGTCTGCAAGTTATCAATATGTGTAGATTTATAAAAACTCTGAAGGTAGAGAGACTTAGTATGCATTGAATATTTATAAACATTCATTAGTTAATCTGATACAGATAATCGACAAATGTTGACCTGACCAGCTTCATTCCTTTGTTTTGCTGGACAGGAATGATGCATTCGAGAATGGCCAAATGTTATATAACCTATAATGTATAATGTGATAATAATGACACCAGCTACCGGTATAATGCTCTGGCTTGTTTGGGTATTTAGCATGTTTTCTTTACTCGTCATGCTCTCAAAATTGATAGTGAAGATAGTATGAAGTTTCCAAGATCAAGTTATCACAAGAATTCTATTGAACGACTTGACCAACAAACCTTGGCTAAATCTAATACTGTCTGACGCCATGACGTCAGACAACAAGATATATCGAAGAAGATCGAACGCTTTTAAAAGGAATTTGAAATGATTGATTAATACCTTTTATTCTATCACTGTTGAAATTGAAATGCAGAACTATTACGATATTAATAAAATTTTATTAAAAATTTCCTCTAAAGTAACCTATTTCAGATTAGCAATAGAATACATGGATATTGATTTCGTTTCTGTGTTTTTTCTTAAGTTTCTAATATGAAATGAGTTGAAAAATGTGTTCAAAGCCTTACCTTGTACGACTTACAGGTTTGGTTAATGATTCAAATCTGAATCTTGATAAAAGTTAGCTTCAGAACTGTAGCTCTCTGGATGAGAAAATTCGGACAGATAAACCAGAGAGCTACAGATCCAATCAAGCGTTGTAAAAACCTTCGATTTACGCCGCCGTTTTTAGTCGCCCGCTTTGGGTTTTATTTCTTGTAATTTAATATTTCCCCCGCTTTAAGAATGGTATCCAATAATTAAGCATATATTTTACTCCTATTCCTGATACTTTATTTACCTTTCAATGGTTCGAAACGGCCGCATGTGGTTTTGGAGAATCAGTGAAAAAAATGCATTCCGACGTCCATGTTGATGTCGTCCTGAAATAACACGCCCGCGTTTTATTTATCTCATTTCTTTTTTACATACATATTGTCTTCTTTATAGACAATATACATGATTTTTGAATCTCCTGAATTTAAAAATTTTTCATTTACATTTTCTCGGCAAGTGTATGTACTTTGAAAGACCTTTTTTCGCACGACCCAAAACATGGACGTCGGAATTGGAATTTTTTAATCCGACATTCCACAACCATTAAGGGCTGTTTGGGACCGTTGAAAGGTAAATAAAGTATCAAGAATAGGAGTAAAATAAATAGTTAATCAGCGACGGATTTAAGGGGGGCGCCTCCCCCCTTCCTAAAATTGTCAAAGTTAGCGTAATGTATAGTTTCGTCGAGAAATATAAAATTCATCTACTCGGCAGACCTCATTTTTACCCTACAAAATGAAATCCAGGAGCTTCCGTGGGCTTCGCCGCCTGAGCCCCCACCAGGGTTTTGCCCTGGACCCACTGGGGTCTCAAGACGGCCCCCAGACCCCCTGCCTACTTGTTGCGCCCCCTAACTTCAAGTCTTGGATCCGCGCTTGTTACTAATTGGTTATAATTATTGGAAAACATTCTTACAGCTGGGGGAAGTATAAAATACACGAAATTATACCAGAAGCGAGCGACAAAAAAGCAGCGGTGTAAATCGAATATCTTTACCACGCTAGGATCTGTAGCTCTCTGCTTCATCTGTCCGAATATTTTCTCAAGCAGAGACCTACATGTACAGTTCTGCAGCTAGATGAAAGTATGTAAGAAACGGTCTCCGAATACTTTTTCCACAAAATTTGTGAGCAAAACCAAAAAAAGGAATACAAACGCATTTAACAGGTTAAATGCCCAGGGTCGATTCTCGCTTTCGCTCCCACTCCTTTTTTTAATGAAATAACTTGGAATAGTAAGTAATTACTGTTACAAGATGTTATGTATGTAAGTGAGTGTGTGCGAGGGTGGGGGTTTAGATGTGAGGTGGGTGTGGGGCCTTTGAACGAAAAATTTTGATTATATGTAAAATACATTAATACATCTAGACAATACTAAAAACAGGGCTGGTATAAGGGTCTGCTGATATGACAGGGAACGGTTTTGAATGTATCTCAATGAAATCAAAAGCAGGTAAAAAAAAAAAAAAATAAATAATAAGGTTTCAAATCTATTTTCTAATTTCTTCAGAGCTTTTTATCAAATGAGACAAATTATGCACATATTTCAATCCACAAAATGTATGCAAAATTGCAGAAAATTTAATTACAGTATTTTCAATGAGCTTTATTGTCTATTTGACAACATACTAAGTTTATATTGTTTTCTTTCATCAAAAAATGTAAGTCCAAAAAGTAACGTCAAGTGAATTTTCTAACGTTATGTAATATAGCGTCATTTTGACGTTACCGAAATTGACACCAACACCGTACGCGACATCTTTATAATTGATTTACTTGATCACAGACGACACTATGAAAATACCTGTAATTTCAATTGTTCTAGGAATTTTCATATTTTGATTATTTATTTATTTATTTATCTATTTATTTATTTTTTTCATTTATTTATTTTTATTTTATTTTTATTTATTTATTTATTTATCTATTTATTTATTTTTTTCATTTATTTATTTTTATTTTATTTATTTATTTATTTATATTTTTTGCTATTTTGGGGGTATTTTGTGGTTGGTTAATAAGTTACTAAGCTCAGAAAGGATTCAAGATGTTTATTAAAATGGACTAAATAAAGTCGACATGATAGCGGAGAAAAACTATCAAAACACTTCTCTTAAGAAATCTTTATTTATGAAGATGATTCAGAACAATTTCATTTTTTTTTAATTTATCTGGTCTCATGAACCAGACATCAATTGGCCAAGAACTATGGTTACCGTTGGAAAATTCGGGTTCCAAACCAAACTGTTTTAAGAATTTCACAATAAAATCCCCGCTCTCTTTTCCTCTGTGTGCCATGAACTCAATTAAAATAAAATCTACATTCACATGATTAAAGAATTTATATGCGCCTCTTAAAACATTGGCCTCAAAAGACTCTACATCCATTTTGATAACGACTCTTCCCTTAAATCTGTAGATTTCCAAAAGATCGTCCAGTAATATTGCGTCGATGACTATACTGTCACTTTCTGCAGAAGCACCCATATGCTTTACAAATGTTCCGCCAACATTAAGATAAAATTTTCCAAGTGATACTTTCTCTCTTTTGAATGACAGTACGTTGTGAATTATTGATATTTTGTTTTGTAAATGATTTATTTCCATTGAAGCACAAAGTCGAGCAGTATTGTCCCTTAACGCATCTACTGCAATTACAGGATTACCAAGTTCCGCCATAGTGAGTGAAAATGCTCCAACATTCGATCCTATATCAAGAAATATCATCGAGGGATCCGACCTCAAAATTCTGTGAATTCTTTGAATATGATGCTCCTCCCACTTACCTTCATTTATTATTCTTCCTGATACCCATTTATCGATTGATGTGGGATACACAAAAATTGTGGGGGATTCTTCCCACTTCAGTTGCGCGCGCACGAAATTATCACGTGGCTGACAGTTTTCATCTTCAACATACCAAACTCCATTTTCACTCGTTAAAACTTTACCAAAGGCGTCCTCACTAGGCAAAAATTTTCTTTTTCCATTCAAAGCTTTCGAATACCAGAACAGAACCAAGCATCCCAAAACGGTGATCGTGGAAGTAAATATTCGATGATGAAGTTTCATGATAAATCATTATTTCTCCATGATGAAGTTCGTTTATTCCTTTACGTCATTCGAAAAATGCTGAATTCTAGACAATTTGATGGTACCTTGAAGAAAAACAATAATGGATTTTTTTTTTAAACACGCATAATAGTACATCTTAAAAATTTTAAAAATCTATCACTCATCCATAGTTAATTGAATGTGCACACACACACTGTAATGAACTCATGAAACCTCTAACTGTGTATCGGAACCAAAATTAGGTAGGGATTGACAAATTTCAACCTTTCACACGCTAAATCAATTTATAAGTAATTAAGAGGGCTAGGTGGTCGTGGCCATTTTTAGACTATATTGATCTCCTTTAGAAGAAGAGCTCCATATAAAGATATACAAGAATGATCAAATTATAAAACTAAAATGTATGAATTTTTCTTTGCCAAATGATAGTTGACAGCTTAAGATATCATATCTAAAAAAATAAGTTATATCTGATGGTTAATTTGTTGACCCCCCAGCCTCCTTAAACTTATCTAAAGATAAATCCATTCAAAGGATCGTATGATTTTCTCTGAGCAATTGATCCGTAATGGAATTCATATTTCCGGAAATAAATTTATCAATCATGACCATTCTTTTCATTTATGAAATGCTGATTTATGCCCAAACAAATACACTATAATTGATTTTCACAGATACGATTATATTTTGGCAATATATATATATATATATATATAGAGAGAGAGAGAGAGAGAGAGAGAGAGAGAAATTATATATATATATATATATATATATATATATATATATATATATATATATATATATATATATATATATATATATATATATATATATATATATATATATATATATATAAGCTATCCCGCTTTCTGATGAAAATCTACGACATTGAAATCAACACACTACTGACTTTGCTGCACAAGTTCGATTCTCCCCGTGGCGAATTAATTTTCACACTGATAATAATTAAGGTTCAGGCCCCTCTCCATTTCATTTCCAGAATTTTGCATTGCATTTCCGACATTTTATGCTGCCATTTCCAATATATATTTATTTTCATTTCTGATATTTTTTTCACATTTCCGGAATTTTTGGAGGGTACCTTTCCGGCAATTTAATGTAAACCAGTTCAGTAGCTTGAAATAGAGTCTTAACAAGATATGAATATTACATTTATTTCAAACCACATTTTTCGAATAATAACATTACAATACACTGTATATTATACATGCAGCATTAAAGTCTAGTTAAAAGGTTTGCATGAGTTAGATGAGCATGCAATTTTTTGTTCGCCAAATTTAATATCTCAGTGACTTCAGCAATAAAACAGAATTCCCTCAAGGATGATCGACTAGTTTCTATATGTCTTTTAAATTCCTATCTGATCTCAAACTTAAATTTAATACCTTGATTTGAAAAGGAGATGAGCGAAAATTCGCAATACTTACATGTGCCCCAGAATAAAATTACACAAGCTTCTTTAAAACTAAGCCCATCTTATGCCTTGGATAACAATGGTTTATTCTAACTTTATTCTTTAAAAGTTTTTCTTTTTATAAGGGAAATTTCAATTCTGTTTCCATTGCCGGAAGTGTAATATATGATAAATGACGGAGATGAAAACTTTAAAATGAAATGAAAACTTTAAAAAAGTTGGAAATGAAAATATCAATATTTTTTTTAAATTCCGGAAATGAAATGCAGCCTCAGACCCGTAGTAGGGTGAGGGGGCGGGGGAACTAATAGTCTTTACCTATAGTTTTAACATGTAAATTCTGATTTGGATGCCCCCCCCCCTTTTTTTTGTTGCTATATGTTGAAACATAGACAAATTTCAGCACTTGAAAGAAAAAATTACTGAAAAGTTAGAGAAAGCCCCCCCCCCCCTCCCATACGAAATGTAAGCCAATGAGACAAATAGTCGTTTTCAAAGAGTTTATTTACTGAAGAAAGTTTTTCCCTGGAATTCCAGGATTTAGTCCAAAGTTATTGTATAGCTTGTTTACTTAAATCTGACTTGTTTGTAAATGAGTATTATACATTGTACATTATAAAAATGACATTCAAACTTTACCAAGCGCTCTCATCTGGGCCGCACTCATCTGAGAGGGGCTCTTCGGAGCGACGTTCTAAGACGGAGACGCTTCAGTAAATAAACTCTTTGAAAACGACTATTTATCGTTTTTTCCAAAAATTGTAAACAAGTAGTATCTAACCACAAAGATGATAATAATCACACGTCCTCCTTCATTATAATCTTTATTGAATAATCACGATACTATTAGACTTATTATGAAGTTGAACAAGCCTCAGTTTGAACGGGAACTGGTAACAGCATTTTATGAGGGGAGGGGGTGATTATTTTGGGAAGTTGACCTCCTCACTTTCTGGTCGGTTTAGGTCTTTTTTTTTTCTTTTTTTTTTTTTTTGCTTCTCAGATTTTTTTTTGGGGGGGGGGTGCCCCCCCCTACTTTTGAAACCATTGCTACGGGCCTGGGGTACAACGTCATTTATTCATATAAATTTAATAAGTAAGGGGTGTTCGACCCCCCCCCCCCCTCCCGGATATGTTGAATATTCCTAGAGCCTGTTTTACAAAAGAACTTACGACTAAGACCAAAATTTAATTTTGCTTATTACTTCCTATTTTACATTTGTTTGAAAATGGTTTTTATCTTTTTAAAAAGAACCTAACATTAATTTTTATAAAGGCAAATTTCAGACAAAATCATTAATTTTACAATCAACTAAAATTTTTGGTCTTAGTCGTAAGTTCTTTTGTAAAACGGGCCCCAGAATTACTAATAAACGATAAACTCGGAATCTTTCTCAAGCCTGGCTTGCACGTACTCGTTATTATGACGTCATTTACGTAAAAAGACGTTGATTCTAACCGTTGCTGCAAAATAGACAAATGTGCCTCATTTCAATTGAATTTTTAGTAGTAAGAAAATACATTTGAAATGAAATCATGAAACACTTAATGTTATGCAGTAGAAAGGTGCAAAGTTTTAACAATTATTTACGTTGAATAAAATCAAAAGAAATACATGGCCACATTTCAGTTCACTAAAATCGATCCTGTGGCACTCTATGCAACTGTGTGGTCGGCCCAAAATCGGCCCTGTGGCACAGAAGTGGTTAAAGACGGTATTTATATTCTAAGAGAAATAACTCTCGCAAAGAGAAAAATCTCTCGCACAGGAAGAGAAAGGTTCAACAAATTATGCGGATCGGATTTCTTTTTTCTTGCAGACATTTAATAAAACTCTCCTCTTTCTAAATACATTCTACTACATTTTGCAGATATTAGTTAGACAGTCGATTATGATTCCAAGTATGCAATACTGCACATTGCATCCTACATGTAATTGGAGAGAGAGAGAGAGAGAGAGAGAGAAATCTTACCCTTTTGCTTTATCGAAGTGTACCAATTATCAAAATATGGCCAAGTTCACTTTACTGGCAAGGATTAGTGTATTTAATCATTTATGTCCCTGTTTTCAAAAGCGATTAACTCGTGAGAAAGGAGATCGATACAAAAGATATGAATACTGGAATACGAGTGTGTTTTATCAGATGATAATCTGAGTTTAAATGAAGCATAATATATACTCATTCGACCGTTCGTTATCTGAGCATTGAGGGCGTATTAATTATATATATATATATATATATATATATATATATATATATATATATATATATATATATATATATATATATATATATATATATATATATATATATATATATATATATATATATATATTTGTATTCGCTCTTATTTTTTGTTTGCACAAATGCCTCATTAAATTAAAACTCGGACGAATGCTAGAGTGGTGAAAGTTCTTACAAAGCACAATTTCACATGTAAGGCGTAAGGGTGAGTGTGGTCGTTTGATTAAAAAATAATGAATTTAAGTCAAAAGATTTGTGATTTTCTTTTTCTTCTTATAAAAGGGTGTTTTGTTTGTTCTTTTTTTTTTCAGATATTCTTGTTACACTTCAATTATATAAACAGTTGATAAACAAAGATTATTGCTTTAAAAGATGTTTTAAAAATTATTATCATTGGAATATTTTAATCTGGCAATCGAATTATTACAATCCATCGCATTTAAAACCCGCACAGCACTTTTACCAAGTTAATCCTTTCGGACATAATTATTTCTTTAAATAAAAACGCATGGAAAGAGAGAGAAAGTTAGCTAGAGATTAGTTCAGATATGACACCCAGAGAATACACTGTATTTGACAGTCACTGTGTCTATAGAGCTAACTACAGCTTTCATTGCGTGCTTCTGAACACGATGAAAATTTCTAATGGGTGACATCTTTTGTAAAATGCGATATACTAATACATGTATGTTGTATTCCTTGTACAAAAGATTTTTATCGTTTGGAACTCTATACCTTGTTAAGATGAGGCATATTTTAAAAAATAAAATCGTTCCAATTTTCATCTGGTTCTTTTTTCTACACCATTTGATTTCCATGTTTACTTTGTATGTTGTTAAGTCTTCCTTAGCAGTCTGCATTATATGCAGCATTAATGCGCCTTGAACTTATACAAATTTTTTGTCCATTACTAAAGCCAAGTGGAACAAAATTGGGTCGACAAAAAGCCTTTCGTGATGTATGCTCCATTCTCAAAGAACTCAAACTATTTGCTACCTGCCAGTCAGCAAATGAACTGATATAAATTGCATAAGTTTTATAATATATTTAATAGGTATTTTAGTACATGAGTATATATTCTCAGTATAACTTACATTTCGTATTGGTAAACAATAAACTTTTTGTCGCCATTCAGTCAATCTGTTCTATACAATACCTTTTCCACCTCTTAGCTACAAATTAAATGTCTATTCTTCAAAAAATAGTTAAAATATCTCTCTCTCTCTCTCTCTCTCTCTCTCTCTCAAGTGAGCCCTCACATGCGCTCGATTCGAATCCTCTGAGAAGTAATATCGATGCTCTAATTTGTATTAAACCACTTTATAAATAATTTAATCGAAACAGATGAGGCGCAAACTATAAGATAGACTTGACAAAGTGTGACCTTTGCATTGAAATATGTCCCATTTCAACATTTTGAATTCTTGTGAGCCCATTGGTAAGACTGTTTTTATTCTCTTCTGCCTTACTTTCAGTCACAAATGAGATTAATTATCCTATGTTCATGTATCATCATGATGTTACTCTTTTAAACATGACTTCGCCGGACCACGTAGCATGGTTCTTATTAGAATATTCAGAAACTAAACTATGATTTTTCAGAAAGTCCACTATAAAATCCCCACTATCCTTTCCTCTGTGAGACACAAATTCCATTAGCAGATACTCCACCTGAACAGCTTTAAAGAACTTTTCAGCTCCTTTTAAGACATTGGCTTCAAAAGTCTCAACATCCATTTTAATGACTGCCCTTTTAATATTGAATATTTCTAACAGATCGTCCAAAAGAATTGCGTCAACTACTAATGAGTTTTGCCCTACTTTATCAAGTCCCATTTTTTCTAGTTTTTTCACGTACGTTCCTCCAACGTTCTTCTTATGAGTTCCAAGAGATACTTTTTCTCGTTGATAGGACAATGCATTGTGAATTATAGTCATGTGACTGCCTAAATTTCCATCCTGGACGGAACGACACAGACGAGCAACATTTCCATCTAGAGCATCCACAGCTATGACATACCGACCAAGTTTGGCAACAGTCAGAGAAAAAACTCCCACGTTGGCACCAATATCCAGAAAAACTACTTCCGGTTCGTTTTTCAGTATATCATGAATTTTTCTGACAAGATTTCCTTCCCACATTCCTTGGCGAATAATATTTCCGGAGACCCATTGGTCTTCCTGTGGCGTATACACATGGATAGGAGTTTGTTGTGGTCCACGTAGTTGGGTTCGAACGAATTTCGCCGATGGATCACAGAACTTTTCCACTTTTTGCCAGCCCGAGTCACTTCGAGAAATAACAGTTCCCCAGAATTCAGGCTTAGTTAACAGTAATGAACCTGTACCTGTGGGATCTGGAATCTTGCTTATTTTGTGATCGGGATCGTTGTTCGGGGTTTTCAAATCTGTTTTTTCTTTGGTGTTTACTTGTAATTTCACATTCTGTTCGAAACTCTGCCGGTTAACAACTACGTTCTGTGATAATGGCGCTTTGTTTGTCGTCCTGAATCCAACAAAAGAAGAAGTGTACAAAAATCCCAGGATGAATCCCACTAACACAGACAAAATGGCGATGTACAGCGTGTGTCTGTCTCTGATCATGATGAATTATATTGTTCCTGAAAAAAAAAAGAGAAAAAATACATTGCCTTGACATTTTGTATAAATTTTTCTCTTCATGTGGAAGAACCAAAGTCGAGTCAATTGAAAAGCAGCACGTGAAAGTAACGGCTCGTAAAAATTACATTGCATATAAAGCATTTATTTCAGGATAAATTCCTAGATACATGTTATAGATTACTTATATATGTAATTATCAAAATTCAGTAAATGTTTATATGTGACTGTATGTTTTGCTTCAACTACCTTGTATGGATAACATTCATGTTATGATGATACGCTATATTCTGACACTATGTCTTTATATTGATTGATATTTTGATATTGCATTATGATACTATACATTTATTGACTGGGTTCGAGGGAAACGTGTGTTTTGTCGGACCCAAGAACCAAACTGTTTGCCAGAGGCCGTTAGGCCGAAGGCAAAAAGTTTGGTTCGAGGGGTGGACCTTTTAATTTTTATTTTGACATAATATGATGTAAATTTTGTTTACCCGCACTGCGGTTTAAACTTGGTCAATTCCATAAAGTTCTGTCAAACCCCAACGAATGCGAATAAGATACAGCTGACCCCGCCCACTCTGTGGCGTGAGCGGTCCGATATCTCATCGACAGGTCCAGTATCTCGCTCTGCGGTCAAACATCGATTTTTTTTATGACCGCTCAGAAAAACATTGTAAATGTTAGACTTTTTTAAGTATAGAATTATATAGGAAACAATTTTAAAGGTATAACAATATGACATTACATGCTGATATTTCATTGCTAAATGACACATTATGCAGGCCCGTAGGAAGCAACTTCAGTTTGGGAAGGGGGGGGGGACCTAACATTTTCAGTTGGGGACACTACCAAAAATTCTTTGACAAGGAAAATAAAAGTCATCAGACGTTATTACCGAGGGGCTGCAAACATATACATGTAGTAGCTATGTTTTCTATAGTATTCTATATCTCGGCAAAATTGCCCCGGGTTCCTACAGCCATATTATGTGCTGACAGCTGACTTTTTATCATTTCATGATGATACTTTGACATTATACATTTATTGACTGGGTTCGAGGGCAACATGCGTTTTGTCGGACCCTAGAACCAAACTGTTTGCCATTGGCCTTACCTTTGGTTCGAGCGTAAAGTTCGTGATGTAAATTTCAATTACCCACACTGCAGTAAAACTCGGTCAATTCTATCACTTTCGAACACTAACGAATGCAAATAAGATTTAGGTGAACCCGCCCACATTGTGACGTACATGTTAGCGGTCCAATATCTCATCGACAGGTCCAATATGTCACTCTGCTGTCAAACATCGATTTTTTTATGACCACTCGGAAAAATTTTTACAAATGATAACATGTTGTAAATTTTGCATTTACCTCCCTCTAGTAAATTCAAAATTTACAAGATGATACATTTTTTTATTTACCTCCCCCTAGTAAATTAAACATTTACAACATGATACATTTTTATATTTACCTCCCCCTAGTTAATTAAACATTAACAACATGATACATTTTTATATTTACCTCCCACTAATAAATTAAACATTTACAACATGATACATTTTCAGTGATTACTGTAAAAGTGGAAAGGTTGACGAGGAGAACATTGACGAATAGCTGTAACTCGTCAGAGTTTCACAAAACTATAGTAAGATTTGTCCTAAGACAGATATTAAGATCATCTTAATATGTGACTTATGATAATCATAGGATTTGTGACTGCTGTTTCACAAAACTGTCTTAAGTGTAACAAATCTTAAGACAACTATTAAGACAAATTTCTTGCTTCAATGTCATGAGGAAATTTAAAAAAAATATATATATGTTCGCGAGAAGTTTACATGTCTTTTTTTCATTTTCTTAAAAATATTGAAATAAAAGTGCGTCTCAAATAATTTTTTTGCAGTTATACTCTCAGAAAAAAAAAACACAACATTTTATTGCATCAGCTTTGATGTACTTTAAAAAAAGGGGGGGAGCTAATTTGAATAAATTTCATTACAAAAAATTGTTGAATAAAATTTGCTTAAATGTCTTTTTGCTCAGAAAATAATATAGTTGCGGACAAAATGTATATAATACTACTTTTGATTAAATACATTTACTGCATTTATGCCTTTTCAAATAATGAATGTTTTTTTTTTTTTTAAAGAGCAATATATGATAAGTGTCTTAAATGGCCCCAAAATCAATATCTTAATTTTACTTTATATATAGCTTTACATTGCACAGCTATACACGTGACCTTTATTTGTAATTTTTAATTTGTTAATTTAGAAATATGACATCATTAAGTTCACCTTTTCCCGCCATTTTAGCATATTTTGTATAAAAATGCTTATTTTCATGTAGTTTTTCTTCCAGAAAATATTGAGCGCAAACTTGAACAAACTTGATATTTTTACCAAAGATATATCTATCCAAGACTAATTACTGACAGAAAAATTTTGCATGTTCTAAGCTGCGCTCTGTTTCCCATCAGAAAAACGTCAAGAAAAAGGCACATTTTTGTCATATTTTGATTGGATTGTAATTAAAAAAAAAAAAAAAACATCATTTCTGACGTCATTTACAGCCTGTGAATGAATTTAAATGTTAAAAATGTATTGGAAAATATATCTATTATAATCTCTCTACAAAATAAAAAACAATTAATACATATCTGAATCACATTCTGATATGCTGATTTTGGGGGGCCAAATTTGACTCTTATCATATATAGTCCTTTAACTGAAACGCCAAGTCGTGTTCAAAGTCCCCCCGGCTCGTTCATAAAAATCTATGAAGGTGTCTTTGAAACCCTGAACTACTGCACAGAAATAACAGTGCTTACAAACGAAGTGGAGAAACGAAAGAACAATTTCCAATCAGAATTTAACAGTTTCAAATGCTATGAAGAAAACATGTAGCATCAAATTGTACAGCAGAAATTCAAAGTTGAAATATGAGTTTTCATAAACATTCCGGCGGATTAATAAGTGTGTGTGTGGGGGGGGGGGGGTACCTCCGTTAAGAACTTAAATTATTTGATTTTCATCCAATTTTGTGAGACTGAAAGACGTGTGTAGTTTCTAGAAAAAAAAAATCACCACAATGTAGAAATGTAACAAAATAAATTAATGTAAAATGTCTTTAAAATGCAGGGTGGCTAGTGGCTACACCAAAGTTCGATTTTGTTTACTTTCATGTGCGGGACTTGTACAAACCTTAAAAAAATGCATATATATATCGTATTTTTATTTATTCAAAATGTATTTACTTAACATATCAATGAATCAACTACATGTATCTCGAATTGCGTTAGCCATTTTCAAAATTACATAAGAAGCGATGCTTGGACATAGAAAATATGATGATACGATGAATTCAAAATTAAAAAAAAATTAAATGAAGTTATAAATGATATCTGGATCTTTCATACATGTATACATGGCCGAAAGAAGCAAGTTCTAGGAAAGGTGGCAATTTCAGTTGGGATGGGGCACAAGCAAACAAAAATGCCTTAAAAAGAATAATGGGGCATGACCAGAAAGTAGGTACATTTAATATTTTCTATCGTATAGTATTTATTGACAAAATTATTAGGTGGAAAGGGAGGGGGGTTATTGTTCCGACTGGCCAGATATAGTCCAAAGGATCATTGTTCTGTCTCTAAAAACCGTTCTAGATACTAGTATCGCTCCTAAAATTCGCCTTCGAAACTTCGCATTTTCGCCCTCGCACCTTCGCACTTTCGCCTAGCTTCGCCTTTTTTTTTTGGGGGGGGGGGGGGAGGAGTTCTATCGTATGCTTACAATGTAGATCAATAGACTAACGTGTAAGAACAGAGGAAATTCGGAATGACATATACGTCAGGCAAATTTTAGTGTGAAACCTTCCCAGAATTCCCTCACTACCAGGATTCCATGCGATAATGGCGATAAAAATAAAACAAAATATAAAAGGCCTGAATTAAGTTTGCCGAGAGCTTAAAATTAACAAAAAAATAATTGCATTTACTCTACAACGTATTTCGTTAAAAACTGCACTAAGCCTGTAGTCTCGTTCAACCAGACACTCGGCTGTCTCCGTAAATTCCGACGTCATATGACGTCACAGTCTAGACTGTGTCTCGTGCGGTTTGGAAGTTCGAAGAGGAGGATCAAAGTTTACAAGTGTAATTTGATGGTACAACTGCGCTCGCCCCAACGGTCACACCGTAAAACATATTATTACACCAGGATATAAAAATCAAATCTTTTTTTACAGTTTATGGATCATGATAAAATCTTATGTTCCCTGCCCTTTAGTTGAGACTGTGATGCACACCAACATAACAAATACATATATATCTATAATTTTGCTCGTGCACCATGCACCAGTTACAACAATCATTACATTATATATATTCTACCATTGTATATAAAATTAGAGTGTCTAGTTTAATTACACTATTTCTCGTTTCATAATATAGCAAGTGTATATTTAGTAGTAAAAACGTCATTGTACAATGAATTTCAACCATTACTTAGCATCCATTTTGGCGCCGTCACACTAATCTAGCGCATGCGTACCAATAACATCCAAGAGCCCACTAATATTAACTCATAACGATAAAGAGCTCCGCAGAAGTAAAATGTGAAGGCGAAAGTGCGAAGTTGCAAAGGTGAAAGTGCGAAGTTGCGATGGCGAAAGTGCGATATTAGTATCGCTCCTTCGCCTTCGCACCCTCGCACTCTCGCCTTCGCATCTTCGCGCTTCGCCGTCGCATCTTCGCACTTTCGCTCCTTCGCCTTCGCAACATCGCACTCTCGCATCTTCGCCCTAAAGGCGAGAGTGCGAAGGTGCGAGTGGCCCCAACGGAAAACCATAACTTAAACTTGTGTATACAGAGGAACATAGTCCGTGACAAGTTAGCTAGTTCATTTAGTACCGGCGGCGTTGAATGCTTGTTGAATAAATTCATTTTCCTTATCTTAAATTCTCATGCACCAAAACA